TTAATGTGACTGCTTGTGTCGATAAATGCTTTCTTGCAAAATGTGCACAAGCGATTAGTAAAATGAGGTAAATCGTACGACAACTCATATTTTGATGTTTCGAAAAAGCATTCAAGTACACCGACTTCTCACAATTGTCTGTTTCTCCAGTTAGCAAAATCGTGCGACCGGCAGTCGTCTTTGGCTCGCGGCAAACATGAAAGCTGTTTTATGGATGAACCGAAGCTTCAGGTGATGATAAACCTACGCGAAAAAGATTTTACTCTATGTATTGTGCTCTGAACTTCTTAGTCACTGCAGTGGAGGTTATAGTAGGATTATGTTGCTAAGGTTTGCAGCTGATATAATGTTATTGCTGCCAGTGCGTTTCGTCGACAGTGTATCCAGTTGACTGGTTCGCGTCGACTTAGATTCTCATTTGTCAGATTGAGCTGTCTTTCAAAACATCTTACTGCTTTGCCTAGGATAGGTATTGAGTAACGACTGTGTCCAACACGATGCACTTCCCTGATCTGAATTTCGTCAGCGAAAATTCGGTCAGATCAGGATATATTAATAGTATGTAATTTGATTTCGAAGAATTTTCGAGACCGATTCTGCATGGGTGGAAAGCCGAATGAATATTACAGGTAAAGACATGGAGCGATGGTGTGGCATTTCTCACACTAACACGCTAAGTCCTTAGGGTAAGCTAATCGATCACTGCTGCGACAGTTTTGGTGTCGATAAAACCATACCAAATCAGTTCATTTTTCCAGTCTATGCATGGAACTAGTCTGATATGAGTTATAGCTGGGATGTCATCATTTGAATCAACAATTGCAGTAATTGACTGTTCTTGTTCAAATTATATTTCTTTAATTATGAGCGAGAATTCTGTCATTCTCCTTAACTTTTGTTTATTCTAGTCATTAATCGAAAAAACTCAAGCAAACGTTTTTCCATTTCGTCTGAAGAGCCGGGCATGGTCAAGTTTCTCAGCTCGCATTGGGCCTTCAGCTGTTGAATCGTGAATAAGGCGTTTACTTCTACTTTCAGCTAGATCAGCATTGGCCTCGAGATTTAAATTACACACTTTTTCAGTGAAATCAGTTATTTGTTTCGTGCATTGATGGTTGTGCTGAAAATAGCAAGATCCGGTTTAGCTATAAATAATGTCAGACATGAAAAAGCGTATGAACTCTGATTGGAACAGATGACATGTATCGCCATGAAATTATTTGTTCAGCAGCACGGACAGAATGTCGTCTTTCGAAGGAAAGATAGTTTAGAAGCTCAATCAATCAGCCGAGTAACCTTGAAGAAGGCCTGTAAGGCACTTATATAGACGTCGCTACTGCTCAATTTCTCAAGTGACTCCTGTTTGCGTTATGTATAAATAAACATTGTTTATATTATTTTAACTTTGACACTGACAGGTTCTTCATTCTGGCTACTAAAAATGCTATAATCAGCTGATCCTGTTTGTTTAATTTTGATCAGGTGGTCTACCACTACTGAAGAGCAAATGATGTTGATACAATTGCTCTAGTAGTGAAACTGACTGATTGAATGAGGTGCTGCTTGAGTTTCCGGAACTGCCTTCTTTTATGCAAAATAAAGAGCGTAACGAAATAAAATTTAATTTTTAAGCCAAAATGAACAAACATCGAAGCATGCGCGATAAACCAATGTATTAATTAATGGCCTTTACAAAATATATCCTTAGAATGCTTTGAAGATAACTCATTTCGTGCAAATGGCATTATAATTCACCTCTGCAAATGCCGTTGACACATTTTGACCTGTAGCAGACATCGAAGCGCTCGAAGCCCTTACAGGCACCCCCTGCGACAACTTTGCTCACACACCGACTGACTCTGGTGTCACAGAAGAGGTAGCGCGAGTGGCATGAACGATGTCTTAGACTACACGTTGGACTCGGCTGGTACTGATAAAATTCTTGTGTGTAGAGGTTCGATAGACCGTCAGCGTTGCTCTTTAGAAACGGTAGCATCGGGTTATATAGAAGATGGTGTTCATTACAGGATTTTTGAAAATTGGGGTAGTCGTGGATGCGTTGCGATGGGTTTTGATGAGTGGTTCGCCACCATTCCCATAGATAATCGATCATACAATGGTGGAGAAAAAAAACGGGGTCGTTTGGCGCTTTACTTAAGTCGGATAGGTGGCCTCCAACCCATGTGCGGACCGAATCGCTGATCTGCAAATAAAGCTTTTAAACTTATCTACTAAATAAGTCATTCACTTACCATTTCGAAATACGGATTGACACAGAAGGTCAGTTTGTCATAAGAGTTCAGAGTTTTCATGTAATCCAAATCTGCTTGCCGTAGAAGGGTTCCACTTCCCTCGATTTTGTTCCACCTGTTCAGCCCTGTTCGTTTACCAGTAGTTCCTATCGGTGTCCAGAAGGCAAACGGACCTTGCTTTACTTGCTGACCCATGTTTCCCATGAACTCTTCCGACCACATTATAGAAGCTCTAGGGTCAGGCAATGAATAATCCAAACGCGAGTCCCAGTAAGGGATAGCTAAATCGATGTCATACTGCCGAAGCGCCAATTCAAACCTAGCAATGATTAACAAGTGTAAATTTTAATTCATTTATAGCACGTACATTCGGAGAAATTCTCGATGCCACGGCAGGAACGATGGCCCGAACTTGGCACCTGGCGACCTCCAACTTTTATAGATGCTGACGAAAATATCGTACTTGCTCAGGTGATCGATGCTGTCTGATTTCATTGCATTCAAAGCTGCATGGAACTGATTCCTCTCCTTCCGGTTCAGCATTCTGTACTCTTTGCGCTTCACACGTCTGGAGCTAGGAAATTCATCCGCGTGGCGTTGCACCAACTTTCCTCTGCCTCCATTGCGCCCAGTGCAATCGCTTGGTGTTCGACATGAGGCCAGTCCGTAAAGCCAGAACCACTGTTTCTTGGTGAGGTACGAGTCAGGCGATTGGAAGTCGCGCTTGGTATTGCGCCATTTCAGAAATTGCTTGCAAGAAATAGAAACATCTATGCTCTTCAATCGTAACTTCAGTTGCGGCGACAAACTCTCGGTCGTATTCACGCACCGTACATTCTCCTTCACTAACTCGGCGAAGGAGCTGCTCATCTCCACTTCCTGAAATTCTTCCATCTGCGTTGGATTCTCCGGCAACAAATTGGCCGTCATTGATATGAAGGCCATAATTAAACTTGGGTCCAACATCTACGCTATACCAATGACGCACTTTCCTCCCAATGAATTAATCAGTGCTGTAATTCGCGCATGACGGACGATATTTGCATGCGCATCGACTCGTCTGCACGCATTTTGTACATTTAGTTATCTGTCCTGCAAATATCACAATTCTGATATAGTGAAGTGAATGATTTGAGGCGTTTTTCTCAGTGACATGAAAGAGGTGTTTCGCCGAGTTTTCGAACGAATTTCCCTTATGCTACCGCAGCCTCTCTCCGGATAAATTTTTTATAGCTATCAATAGAATCAGCAATCCTTTACGTGCAGCGTTTCGGAACAGCACATTGTGCAGTAATTGTTTTCTAGCTGAACATTTCAGTTGCTTAAGATCAAATATAATCATTGAATCATGAATTGAGATGAGGATCAGGCAAAGCGTGAGTAGTTCGGATATTAGTTAAAACTTACTTGGTTCATGTTTTAATAGATTAATACATGGGTAAAATTCACCAAGGTAACTAGCATCACAAGTGCTGCTTGGCAATTTGGAAAATCTCTATCTACTCGCGGTTACGGAAGCTCGTCTCCAAGGGAACGGGAAGGTTAATTTGCAGGATTAATACACATTTTGGAGGGCAGGCCAGAGTAAATTACGCCATACTGGTGTGGGCGTCCTCTTGTCTTGTCCTTTGGTAAGCGAGGCGGTCATTTCGATAGAACAGGATTCGGTAAAAACCTTCTCTCTGCCGCATAAA